GCTAAATTTTAGACTCGAAATGAAATTTTTAACTGATTTAGCCAAACTTTAGACGATGATTTTCCTAGAGCTCTGTTTTTCGCGTATGGAAAAGCAAAGCTACTTCATCATAGTATGATAGTTTTCATTCTGAATAAGTCCGGCAGTCGTAATAAACAGGTTTTTATATGAAAAACCGCAAATTTACCCCTCAGTTAATTATGAAATGTGATATCAACGCAAACAGAAAAATAGCTTATAAAAATACTAGAAAAATGCAAAATCCCGACTTTCAGGTAGCCTGCATGACCAAGCCGCAGATCTGCGACTGCAACATCAACCTCACCGAATCGATTAATGCGGCTAGCGGCCTTGGGAAATAGGAATAAATCGCTTTTTACGTTATAAACCTAGCAAATTTTGTATTAAAATGTTTTCACCTGCACAACTTTCGGGTAAACCTTGACTTATAGCCTATTAATGCAAAAACAACCGCTTCTCCGTAATTCTACTGAACTCTGCCGCCACTTTTGAACTTATCGCGTCCGGGTTCAAACTATTGCACCCCACCAAATGAAAAGCTTTGCACGTTGGAACCTGAAAAAATTTCGAATACCCGGCACAGGCACACCCAATTAACACTCACAAAATAGCCCGACCCCGCAAAGGATTATACCGAATTTCGCAGACCCCCTCTCTAGGCCGACGACTATATAATGACCCCTTGAACCCGGGAACTTCCGCTACACTCCCCTGCACATTACCGTAAACCCCGCTCCCCGGAAATGCGGCTGGCCCTCCTGATCTCGTTTTGCTGTCTGGTGGAATTCGCCAATGGAGCTTGCCCGGTGACGCCGAGCACGAAGATCCCGAAAAAATGCGCGACGCTGTTTGACCTAATCCAGAAGCGGTTCATCAAAGTGGCCAACGTTTTGGACAAGAAAGTGATGTGGGCGGTGGGTTTTTACGCCGTATTTTAAACCATTCGATTCATTTGGTCTTCTAGTGAATTCTGAGGCTCAATTTTGCCTCCACAGATATCCCAAGGGTCCCAAATTTGATATTTTTGCCATTCTTCGAATTTTTTTGACGTTATCCGACAGAAAACCAAAAAAATAGCGTAAGCATTTAAACACACACCAAAATAATGTAAAATCTAAAAAATATGGCGTAAACCAGAATAATATCAGAAAATAGGGTTAAAAAGTTGGTTTTTGGAATTTTTGCTACTTTATCTGGTATTTTGAAGGCGGCATTCGATCTAGCAGCAAAAATTTTTTTGAATATTTTTAATTGCAGCCCAACCTAGCGCAAAATAATCTAGTTATGACAGAAGCAAGGTTTGGACGTGGTTTCCATCTAGATAAATGGGGGTGAAAAGCTAATTTACGACATTTTCGATATTTGCCAAATTTACCAAACGTTGTCGCGCCATGCAAACATAGCTAAACAACCATAACATTTTTGCGTCAACGACCCGGGAACTTACCATGTGCTTGCTGCGAACCAAATACCTTATAAAAAGGGTTGCAGATTCTTGCTTGAATTCTGAATCTAGCATTTTCAAAATTCTAAGATTTCTGAAACCCCTGATTAAATTGGTCTCGACGCACCGTGTCGTCCGGTTTTCCCGCCCTATCCCACCTTCAACTTGCCCCGAGGCAAGAGAGCTCTACGCCCTTTCCAGGTCGCCGAAGGCCTGGGTGATGCTGGTGTGGCCTGGATCAAGGGCAGAATCGCGGCCTCGAATAATACCGTTCCGAGTATGTGCGAAGTTGGGACGTGTGGGTCGAGAATTAAATGACCATAACCGGTGTTCAGTCGTTACCACATATGCATCGGACAACGTCGACACATTGGTTCAGTGCGCCACACAGTACAACCCTGCTACTGCCACAAAGATTGCCCTCGATGCGGTCTCGCTGGCTGGTGTAGTCGCGGTGAGAAGAGAGAGAGAGAGAGAGAGAGAGAGAGCGAGAGAAAGCCATAGACGCCAATCGTATCGTCATTAACCCCTTAAATTCAGATGAACGGCTTCAGCCTGCCGAATATCGGTAACGCGATGATTTGTGGGGTGCTGGATTGTCTTCAAGCGGCTTATAAGAATCAGGCAATAGCTTTTTTAATGTATATTTACGTTTTTCTTTCCAGTTCTGCCCCAAATACAAGGGCTGGCTCAAGAAGGTCGACAAGACCGCCATGCAGAACCAGGTGTGCGCCATGGGTGTGCAATATCTTCAGAACTCGAATCTCGTCCAGACATGTTTTAATGTGAGTTACGAGAGAGGGAGAGAGAGAGAGAGAGAGAGAGAGAGAGAGAGAGATATGTAGAAACTTATGGGTTATTCGAACGCTATGTCTTTTTCAGGCCTGCAAGGCTCGCACCCAGGTCGCCGTCATGCAGAAGCTGTTCGACCCGTTCGTCCCGAAATACGCGGGCATGTACCAGACGTACAGGGACAAGTCGACGGTAAGTTTCATTAGTATTTTAGTTCGATTTGGCTTCGACGACCGTATGTATTTTGCCATCTTCAGGTAGCCTGCATGACCAAGAGCCAAATCTGCGGTTGCAACCAGGAACTGACAGACCTAATCAATGCGGCGGGAGGATAACTCAAAAGTACAACTTAATCTAGCTGGTACATTTGAGAATAAACCTGTTTGGTCGGTCCAATATTTAACCCGACTAGGATAAAAACAATAACGCATACTAGGATGCAGAAAGAAAGAGAGAGAGAGAGAGAGCAAGACAGAGAGAGAAAGAGAGAGAGAAAGAGCGATAGAGGGAGAGAGCGAGATATAGGAAACGTTCCTTGTACGTTCCAGGCATAGATCACATTCCCCGCATCATCCATTCCGCTTGAGTAGATCGCGCCTACAACACTACAAAAAAGCGATGGGCGCGTCGGCCAAGGATAGCAAAACCCGCGGCAAGACGAGCCTACTTTCGCCTTTATCCATACTTTCAATCGGCTTCGAAAACTAGAGAATCTTATTGCCGAAAAAATTTTATCGCCCGTGTTTTTCACGAATTAGGGCTGGCGTGAATCGGCCTTGCTTTGAGGGGAGCGGCAAGGCATAGCTATCAAATTTTTTTGTCGATTTAATTGTGGATCGTGGACCTGCAACTGATCCAAGTTTTCCCTTTGGTTAATGCATGATGCAATGAAATGTTGCGGAAACTGGAAAATCCAGATTCGGACAAAAGAAACGCCTATCCTGAAATACCACGTTTACTATTTCTGAAGTTGTATTTGAAAGCACCCGAAATTTTGCCTCTGGATTTTTTGGGCAGTTACAAACTATCAACCAGCCTTATTCCCCCCTTTTTAGCTTTTTTTCGTAAGCCCGAGTAGCAAACTCAACCCCTAAATACCAGTATTTGTTTGCTCAGCAGTTTCCCGCTTTGCCTGTGCTTTCTACCCATGGCAAAAAACTACGGAACACATCGCTTTTCGCCTGGTCTCAACCGCTTTTCTAGTATTGGAGCTAGAGAGGACGGGGCAAAGATAAGGCTCTATTTACGCCGCTGGCTGTCCGTATTTCTGCTGATTGCCGATTCTGTTCAGATGCATAAACAGGTCTTTCCGAAGCTGTATGGAGCAAAGTAAAAGTACTAAATTTTTATTTTTATTTAATTTTACTAGTTTAATTTATCTAATTTATATATAGGAAATTGTTTTTGAGCAATTTCTCACAATTGCCCTTTCTTTTAAAAATATGCAAATTACCACCTAAAACCAGGCCCCTTAAAAGCGTTGTCTGGAAAGTACTCAAAATATCCAATCTTTTCTAGAGATCATTAAAGCGTAGGATAAAGTATAGAATTCAATTAAACCTAATGTAGAGATAAGAAAATTTTAAAGTGCCGTTGTTCCACTTTTATCAGCCTATCGCGCTTTTTATCCTAGGTGCTCGCCGTATAGATTTTGGTCAAGGTCAAGGGCGACAGCTACTTTCCGTTCTCTTTCATTCTCTCTCTCTCTCTCTCGCTCTCTCTCTCTCTCACTCTTTTCACGACTGCTTTTTGCTTTCAAATCCAGCGAGTCAATCGTCATTTTCCGGTTGTTCCGGGACGCCATCGTTTTTATTGCAAATTTCCAGGCCGAAGTTCGCAGCGTGTGTGGGGCAAAATGGTCTGCTCGTGCATGCTGCTATGGCTTATCCCTGTATATTATTTATTGAGGTCGGTTTTATATGGGGAAAAGCTGACAAAGCCATACAAACATTAATACAAAACTCAATATACAAATATTAATTATATTTTTAGATGGTTCTGGGAGCTCCTGAAAATTGATAAGCTTGAAAAACGAGCCGTGCTAATCACCGGATGTGATTCCGGATTTGGTTTCAAAACTGCACTTCAATGCTCTCATGCTGGGATCCCGACTTTTGCTGGATGTTTGACGCAAGGGGTATTCTTTTTGTCCTTTTTAAAACGTAAATATTTAGGGCATTGACCGACTAAAAAAAGAAGACAGCTCCTCCAAACTCCGCCCATTTTTACTCGACATTACCAAGGACGAATCGGTTGCTGATGCCGTGAAATTTGTTGACGCCAATTTGAAGGATGGAGAGTGTGGGTTTTCAAAGGAAACAGGACGATCCTTCTTAATCAGAATAAACCGTTGACTAAGCAAAAAGCAGCCTTGCTGCTCTTGACTGAGCGCGCTCATTGACACGATTTTCGTAGCATAACCGGTTCTTCGGCAACTTCGCGAATCGTCATTAAAGGGCACGTTCAGGGGCGTTATTTTGGAAAAAAAGCAAAGATTTTGCCGCGGCCGGGGGGTCGAACCCGGGACTCCCGATCAGGAGACGCGGCCGCATACCAGTCAGCCACAGGTGCAACCTGGCGAGGGGGTGAGGGGCGCCCCACGCCGCAAAGGAGGGGAATGGCCTGTCACAGCACGGGCAGGCAGTGCGCGCGGTCCCTACGTCCATAGGGTGTACACGTTGGGACGAGTATACGGCCCTCCCTGAACGTGCGCTTTAAACTGGTTCCATCCCTCTAAAACACTCGTTAAATTCGCATTTTTAGTCCTTTGGGCCCTCGTCCAAAACGCTGGGGTTTTCACCCTCTATGGCCCTGACGATTTCATGACCGCCGAACACTTCCAATTCTCCTTCGATGTTAACTGCCTGGGAGCCATTCGGGTTACTCACGTAAGGATCACTCTGCAATGATATTTTAACATCCCCTTGTTTTATTGTAGGGCCTACTCGTTTTTCAAACGAAAACGATCGTCGAATCGTCGAAAGATTTTAATAATTTTCTACGCCTTTTTCAGGCCTTCAAACGTCACATCAAGAACTCAAAGGGCCGTATCATCGCTACTTCATCCGTATCTGGAAGAGTCGCTTTCCCAGGAACAGCCGCTTATGCGGTTGCGAAATATGGTGTTGAAGCCTATATGGACGCGATTAGGTATGGAATTTGCATTTTTTTGATTCTCATAGCAAACCCGGACGAAGAAATTCCAAGCTCCTATGTATACGCTGCAAAAAACGTTGGCAGAAGCGCCTTCTGCAAAAAAAACCATAGAAAACGGCGTAAAGATTACCTTTTGCCTTTGAATAACCATGAGGCACTAGAGTTCTATCATCCTGATATTTTCTTAAAAGATACAACCTTTTAACTACTGTAATTTCAGGCAAGAACTCTACCCTTGGGGAGTACAATGCTCCATTCTTGAGCCCGGTGCCTTCAAGACTCCACTTCTGGACCATGAAATGCATAGAAATCGCGTGAATAAGGTATATTTTTAGCGACTTTTGTTTTTTTGGAAACGTAGGAAGTCGGCCTTCAGAAAGCAAAAAAAGTAAATTATAAAATTTCAGGCCTGGGAAAAACTTGACGCCGAGACAAAGAAGGAATATGGGGATTCGTACAAAGATTTCAGTGAGTTGCGCAAGCCTCTATTATTCTCGTTCTCTCTCTCTCTCTCTCTCTCTCTCTCTCTCTCTCTCCCTCGCTCTCCCTCTCTACACCTAATTCTTTCAGCCATCGACAGCTGGAACAAGGCCCTTGACGGTATGGCTTCATCAAACTTCAGCTACGTGACCGACAGTTATTTCCATGCCATTACCGCGCAGTACCCCAGAAAAAGGTATCGTTTTTTGGGGTCACAGGCTTGAGCCGTTTTTGGGATTTTTTTATGGGGTGTATTTTGGGGTGGCGAAACCCGCAGCGGCGCGAAAGTACAAACGGTAGCACGCAGCGCTTTTGGTCATTATTTTGGGCCGGTTGGTCAGAGTAGGAGGAAGCGCGGAAAATCGGTTCGTAATTCTAAAACATGGGGTTGAAAACGAGAGAGAGAGAGAGAGAGAGAGAGAGAGAGAGAGATAGAGAGGAAGAGAGAAGGTATATGAGAGAGGGACATGGAGAAAGAGAGCCCAAGAGAGCGAGAGCGTGAAGCAGAGCGAGAACGCGAGAAAGCGAGATAGAGTGAGAATGAGAGAAAGAGAGAGAGAGAGAGAGAGAGAGAGAGAGAGAGAGAGAGAGAGAGAGGAAAGAGAGAGGACTAGGGAAAGAAATTTACTTTTTCTGAGTTCTTTTTATTTGCCTATTTTCTATTTATTCTTACCTTTTCAGGTACCGTTGCGGCTGGGACTCGATCTTCTTCTACATTCCAATTTCCCTTGTCCCGACCGAGGTCCAAGACTGGGTCTTCCGCATGCTAATCACCAAGGAAAACAAGAACAACGTGCAACCGGCCTGTTTCTCCGAGAATAACAAGAACAAATAGAGCTTAGAGATCGGATAAATTTAATTATTTACATCCACTATAATTACAGCCTGTTAAAACATTTAAAATTTACCTAAAACGACTTCTAAAGCTTTATTTGCAAGTGAAATGTTCACATTTCGTTCCATCCTTTGGTTCAAGCGTTGTTTGACAGTAGAAAATGACAGCAGACGAAGCGCCTCGGAAGCGAATAGGATAGGGATTAGCGATTCCGGCTTGGTAGTCCGTTCGGTACTGAAACGGAACGTAGCGTAGCCTAGGTTTTCTTTTTCAAAAAAGGGTTCTCAAACTGAATTATTTCGTTCTCGCCAAAGGTCCTGTTATTCTGTTCAAACTGCCTTTGTTCCAAAGCGTAAGTTCAAAGCGTACTACGTGAACATCTATGTACGCTGAGAGACTAGATCAAGGAGGAAGCAACAGAAAATAATTCATTTGCTTTAATGCTAGACCTCTACACCCGAGATACCTTAACTTTCCCTCTGTTGTTATTTGTCTGAAGTAAATGCCCCTGGCGTCTTTTCATACCTGAACATGCCCAAACAGGCTCTCCTCCAATGTGCATCCATTTTGGTCGATAATTGGGTACGGGACGGAGCCCTTTTCATCACCGGTCACAGTACAGTTAGACACACGTAGACAGAAACCTTTTGAGGGTTTGCAGGTGATGTCATAGAACAGAGAGGTGTCGAGGCTTACTCCTAAAAATATACTAGAGGTTTTTCTATAAAAAATGTGCCGTCTATTAGCGCAATTTAACCGGAAAGGTCACAAAAGCTCGTTAGTAAAAAAAATGTAGCATTACAAGTTACAGTAACTGAAGTTCTTTCCTAATTGTTTGAAAAATATTTATCTCTATTTTTAATAAAAATTAGCGGAGTTTTTGCCTTTTGGAATAGTAAAAAATTGGTTTCTTTTGCATTATCGAGGGTAATAGAAGGAAAACAGTTTTTTGCCAATAGTCGCAGCTTTTCCTGATATACATGGTTTCCTAAGAGTTTATACACTGTTTTTTACTGTTATTCAGCTTAAAAACGCTAAAAATTCTGAATTTTTAAAGTAACCATAAAGTTTTTTGTAATTTTTACACTTGAAATATATCTAAATTCCACTTTAAACACTCTAATATTTCTTATTTGCTAGCTATTAGGCATTTTCGGAAAATTATTCGTGACGCTGCCCCCGATAATGCAAAAGTCCCAAAAATGATAGAGAAAAATATCTAGATATATTAAATAACCGGATTACCAAGAAAATATTTCCTGAAAAGTTACCTGTCACCAGTTTCCCGTCCGGCCCATTTTCTCGGACGTGAAAATCACATTTAGCTTCGGGCATCCGTGTGCTAACGCCAGGGGCATTTACTTCAGGAATTTTCTGGCATAATACGATAGAAAATGCGCATAATGGTAGGGTGAAGGTAGCGAATCGGGGCATCGGAATGGGACGGATCGATCCCCATGCCCTCCAGCCATCTAGCCCGACAAGGAATTGGGGGTGGAAAAACAAACGAGGCGGGGTGTGACGCGCCGACTGAACCAGATCCTTATCCATCCCAAAGACCTATCGCATAGTTTGGGGGAGATGGAAAGTGGGGGTCAAGGTGGATTGAAGGGATCAAAAAGTCGGGGAAAGCTATGGATAGGATGATGGGCAGATTTTCTTAAATTTGACCTGCATTGGCTGCACAGTTTTTTTACAAATTATTTGGCTCCCCGACATTTGCGGCCCGTCATTTGCGGCCCGTCACTTGCGCCCGACACTTGCGGACGCGACATTTGCGGCCCGTCACTTGCGCCCGACACTTGCGGACGCGACATTTGCGGCCCGTCACTTGCGCCCGACACTTGCGGACGCGACATTTGCGGCCCGTCACTTGCGCCCGACACTTGCGGACGCGACATTTGCGGCCCGTCACTTGCGTCCGACACTTGCGGACGCGACATTTGCGGCCCGACATTTGCGGCCCGACACCTGCGCCCGACATTTGCGGCCCGCCCTATTAAGCTCGTTTTTCCCCAATATAAAATTAAAAAGAGGGTTAGTATAAGTCTAAAGCATTTTCAGGCAAGGCGGGCCGTCGCTTCGGATGGGCTGCCGCTCCACTCTTTCGAAATCGGGGCGCCTGGCCGCTACGCGTGCCTCGGGCGCCCCGATTTCGAAACCCTGTACGAGCTCGCACCCATCCGAAGCGACTAGGCCCCGGGTGTAAGCCTTATTTTTAGGTCAAGACCAGGGGACAAGCGATCAAACCCCGTTCAGAAAACTAGCCTTCCGGACGGTTAAAAGCTTCAGTCGTGTGATTAACTACAGCTTTGGGCCGCAATTGTCTGGGCCGCAAATGTCGGGCGCAAGTGTCGGGCCGCAAATGGCACGTGGCACCAAATTATTCACTTCTAGCTTGCAAACTGCAAACGTTCAGACGAATTTTTGGCCTGTCTATGGAGAATCCGTTGCCAAGTTCGGTTTGAGGCCCTTCCCGTGCATCAAATGCTCTAATGTTCCGTCACTGGTGGGAATCGACCCTACTGCCTCCGATGACGTTTGCAGAATGGATAAAATTGATTTGTGTAATTTACACGACAAAATTAAAGTCCATAAAAAGTTATCTGGCTACGTAATACAACAACGTAACAAAATCTCTCGCTTGTCGCTTGCGCTACCTGTAATGCACAGAAATGGGTTTTTGATAAATATGGCTTCTGGGTTAGAAATTGTGGTGGTATGCCCAGTACGCCTTTTGTCGTATGGGATCCGCATTACCTGCAGAATCATGACGATCCGATTGGTTGTTGTTGTGGATTTTTATCTTTTCGGTTTTCCCCAACCCGGCTTCTCGTCATTACGCTTAAATTATGCCCTAAAACATTAAAAACTATCATTTTGAGCCCCAATGCTGCAACCACTTTATTCAAATGACAATATTGTTGTAGGGCTTGTCGTTCGAGATATACGAAGCAGCATCACAGCTCTCATAGCCACAGCAAGAGATGCAGTCACCGCGACCCTGGCTCCAGGTGGTACCATCGTTTTTGCGGAACGTCCAGTGGCAAGTGTTGTTGCCGACCACTTGGAATTCGCCGTAGTATTCTAAAAAAGATTTTTAGGTTTCTTAAAAGGTCCAGTAAGCCTCGAAGTCGACTCTTTCTATCGCTAGGTCTCGACAACTCCGGGATACGTAAGAAAGTATCTTTTTGCACTTCCTAATCCGGGCCAACAAAGGGATTGCGTCACATTTCTAGCCTGGAACGTAAATGTCGAGACCTAGCCGAAGGTAAGGGTCGATTATGAGTCTACTAGGTACCCTTAAAGGTCTGAAATAGTTTTTTAACGATATGAAAATTGTTATTCAAAGATACAAAATTAAAGTGTGAAAAATGTTTCCTGGCTTTACAGTCCCTTTAAACCTACCCCTGATCGAGTCTTTATCCGTCTGGTCCAGCGAAAGGCATTGGATTTGGTGGGGCTAAGGTAATTTTTCATTTTCTAAATCTTGTTTCTGATACCCCGGTCAGCGCCTCGGTGTTGGTATAGATTTTCAGGTAAAATCTCGTGGCATCCCCATCATTTTTATCGGTCTGGATCGTACAGTTTTTGCCTGAAAGAGGAGGGATTCATGGCAAATTTTGGGAGTTTGTGTAATGGTAATACAAACAGATACAGTCCGCGTCATAATGATAGGTTCACCCCATTTTAGGACAGCTTGTTAATCTAGAATAAGTTTCGGATGAAACGGGCGTTGTAATCAATTAGTGCACAGCTCAAAACCTTCCACGCCAGTATCCATTTGGTTAGAAAAGGCTTCTAGATTTCGAAGGAATTTTATCTCAAAAAAAGGCTTGCGTCATAAAGATAGGTTCACCCCGAATTTTTCCGCAAAAATCATACATTCGGATTTTACTTGTATTTTTAATTAAGTAGCCTTGAAGTATACATGAGTTTCCTATACTTGGTTTGACTCGAAAGGTTTCAGGGAATTTTTTGCAAAAGTCGATTTTAACAAAGAAATCACACTTTTTTAGGATTATCCGGCGATACTCGTTTTCAATTTTTAGTATGTAGGCGATCTCGGAAAGTGCACTTAATGACGAGCATTTTGGTATATAAACGGTTATAGGAACTAAGGTGTTCACGAAGATACAGGTCTAGAAACATCGAACCTACTGGGTCCCATACTAAATGGCCGCCAATCCTTACTTGCGCAGTCCATCCCAACTTTCTTCGTGTGTGTCACCCCAATATCGCCGAAGCCAAAGACGTTGTTATATACCAAAATGCTTGTCTTGAGCTGCTCTTTCAAGTCCATAGAAGGAACTTGCGCTTCCGGTTAAATCCAGCCCGTATTGCCACAAAAATAGTAATTTCTTTGTTAAAATCGACTTTTGCAAAAAATTCCCTGAAACCTTTCGAGCCAAACCAAGTATAGGAAACTCATATATACTTCAATGCTATTTAATTAAAAATATAAGTAAAATCCGAATGTATGATTTTTTGCGGAAAATTCGGGGTGAACCTATCTTTATGACGCGGGTCCCAGTAAGCCTTTTTTTGAGATAAAATTCCTTCGAAATCCAGAAGCCTTTTCTAACCAAATGGATACTGGCCTGGAAGGTTTTGAGCTGTGCCCTAACTGATTACAACGCCCGTTTTATCCGAAACTTATTCTAGATTAACAAGCTGTCCTAAAATGGGGTGAACCTATCATTATGACGCGGACTGTATAACACTACGCATGCGCTATGAAAATAAGAAAACTAGATACCACTAGTATACATCTCGCCACGGCACTCCCCGTAGAGATCGTTCGGTGTGAAATCGTCGACTTCCTTCAGTTGCATACGGTATTTGTCGTCACCCTAAATTGGCTCCTCATCGTGGCGCAGCTTCAATCGTAGTATAAATCGCAGATTTATCAGTCCAAATCAGGCTGCTACAGTTAAATATTACGCTTCAAAAATACTGAGTTGGATCCCTTTGGTCTAAATGTGGTAGAAAGCGCCTAGATCGTCCTGTAAGTTTACAGGATCCCCCCCACCCGTAAGTCACCCCATCGTCTAGAGTAGTATCTCGTCTCTCCAGTGGCTACCGGGCCTTAAGGTAAGGAGAAACAGTAGAAACAGTCGGCTATGGGGCGATCTGGTGATTTAGCTGCTCACCCCTTTAAATGTTTAGGGTCTCGAGCGCCAAGGACTAAGCCTGACTACGTAGTCTAGAAACTAGCTGACCACATTTATTATGATTTCAGAGCAAGTAAGGCTGCAAAAAAACATGGAACTCGTTTTTAAGCATCTTTGGGTTTGTCGACACCTCGTCGAAAAGGTGGAGTCGAAATTTGCGCTTCTGATCCCCTTAAAAAGCCCAAAAACTCGAAAAATATTTGGAGAAACTCCTCACCGGAACCACCGTATGCCCATCACTATAAGTCGCTCTCGTGAACACGACCTTCATCTTGGAGCCCCAGACGACGCTCAGGAGCCCGAGGGCCAAGAGACTGAAGATGACCTTCATCCCCTAAAAATTATTTTTGTCAAGAACCGGAAAGGATACAATTTTTAGCTGCTTAAAAAACTAGAAATCCGAAGCAAAACTACCATCAAAGGCACTTTGAAGTCCCGAAAAGTCGACCCGAAAAATCGACCCCGTAATTTGCTGTCTGCCGTATAACTCGGCGGCAAGCTTTGAACTTTTCGGTTTTCGTGTGGAACATTCAACCTCTTCTTTTAACTTTTTTTTGAACCGCAATTCTTGCAGTTTCAAACCGCAGATCCGATTTTTTGTGAAACCAAAAATCGCCGCGGCTGTTTGGTGATAAATCTCGAATGCAATGTCATAAATCAGAAACCGATAAAAACCTAAAAAATGGGTTTTTCAGGTTTTTTTACCGATAAAAAAGCGAATAAATTGAGGGTCGTCTGGGAAACACTTCTGTATATAAGGCCCTGAAATAGAAAGGGAGCAGAACAGTTTTTGGAACGGTGCTGTTCCGAGAATTTAGTTGCTATATTTTTTGTGCACTTTTTTCAATTAGTTATGCACTCTTTAAGGTATGACGCCGACATCAGCCCTGCTCCTTGCCTTTCTTGGCCTGTGCGCCCTGAGCACCGTCGATGCCGCAGTGCCCCTAGTGACGAAAATCGTCTTCTTCAACTCTTCATACACAGACGCTAACCACAAAGCCGAAACGGTGGGTCTACTTGATACCTAAAGGGGCACGGAAGGCACTGTTTGTGCGTGCGTGGATTGAACAAAAAACGTAAAAACAACAAAAAACATGACAAAAAACGTAGGGGTTACTGAAAAGACCCAGAAAGTGGTTGCGTTGCGAAAGACCCAAAGTATTTGAGTAAAACCGAAAGTTCCTGGGGAGAGAACGACTTTTTGGGTGCGGGGGAAATTACATGTAACTTACAAGCTGTAAGGCACCGAATCTCTCAATCTCGATGTCGCTGCGGCCAATTTTCATAATTAAAAGTCTAGAATGGCCAAAATTCGGTGAGGATTCCAAAAGTAGCGTCAGAATGTTTAAATTCAAGCGTTTTTACATCCAAACAGGGACAAAAGATCATGCGGCACGGTCGCGTTGCGGTCGCATCTCGCTATGCCACGAGTGGACCAGAGTTCTTCGCCCCGTTAATTTTTTATCCGCTTTCGAAGAGCTCATTTTCATACTCATCGCTTGCTTCTCGCATCAAAAATCCCGGCATTTCCATGCACACACTGTTCAAGTCTTTCCGAAATCCTTGGCGAATTTGGGGTAGGGAAAAATCGTAACGGACAGGTTTGTTGGTGATCGTAACGTACCCTTTTACTGCTCATCCGTCAAAAAAATCTCTTGTCTTCAGGGTGACGACAAGTACAGTGTCGAACTGCGCGAATGGAACACCTTCGGCCGCAGTTATCCCTTTGGTGGATGCTCTGGCAACATGTACGGATTTGGTTCGTGATACGTTCTTTACAGGCAGGCCCGTAGGAGGGAGGGGGCGGGCAGGCGGCCCTGGGCTTTAACGCTACGCACTAAGATTTTAACGTTACGTTTCTTTGCGGAAAACCCTTGTAGATGAAAACTGCACAATCACGGCGCTCGCGGGTGACGACGCGGGCAAATTCTGGGAATCGACTGACTTTTTCCTGCGCATCCGAATCAAGAGCAGCCTGATGCCCGATGTGGGAATTTAGATTTTTATTATTGACGTTATGGTTAGAGAGCGAGAGAGAGAGAGAGAGAGAGAGAGAGGAGAGAGCGGGGTAGAGGGAGAGTGAGCGAGAGAGAGCGAGAAGGGTGAAAGAAACGAGCGATCGAGACTTCGGAAAAGTCGAAAATTTTGGAATTTTTTGAATTTTCATGCAGATTTGGAAAGTGTTCAGCAATAATTACGACAATGTAAAAACGCATTCGATGTTAATATAAAACCTGGACCTTCTCGTGAAAAGCGTAAATACTTGTCTTACAGAAGGAAGCCGTCCGATGGCATCGGCTTGGACAAGCAGTCAAAGAACAGTGTCCGGCGTATGTTTCGCTAACAAGCTTGGTCTGGACTCCTACGGGGGGGGGATCTATAGCAGGGCGAAAACCACTTTCTATTTTTCCAACTGCACTTGTTGATGAGATATTATGTACTTTTTATAGTGTTTTTAGTAGTTTTGCTAGAAAGTTATAAAACATTTTCTAAAATTTTGAAAAACGAATATTTTAACTTTTTTGATCACTTTTCATCCATTTTTGACCAGAAAGTCAAACAAAATTCATAAATTTTCGGTTTCTTGATAGTTGTTTTTAAATTTAAAAGTGAGTGCTCTATGAAGATTAAAATACTGTATATTTTGTTATAGGAAAAAGTAAACAATAAAAAATTTGGTTCCTTTAGCCAAAAATCCTCCCTCTCGCTTACAAACGAGAACCTAAGCGTCTTCAGCCAGAGAATGTTTATCGATTTTTTGAGACTACGTCGGATCGCTGAAGGTCGGCGACCATAAATGCGCCTTCCACCACGACAAATTTGACGGGTCGAACTGGGCCAAGGGTCAAGTGCGCCAGTGCATCTCGTGCTGCGATGAAAAATGGGAGAATGACTGCGACGGTGGATATGTCGGTTCGCTGATGCCATACGCCACTAAAGCCCTTCCATTATAAATTTGTTGCAATAAAGATTTCATTCTATTGTTTTTTCCAATCCAACGGATTCCTGACCAGGGATCAGGGTTGGTCATTTCGAGCCCGGCCCGCGGGCGTCCGGGGCCGGACGGGCCGGACGGGCTGGCTACCCAATTTGCATAAAATTAGCGGACGGGCTGGGACGGGCTGGGGAGCGGGCTGGACGGGCCGGGCTGACAAGGAGTCGCTTTTAGGTGCTTTTGGAGTTTCGGGACGGGACCTAGCTAGTTATATAGAGAAAAAATTTTGAGCAACATCCCGTTTTCAAAAAGTGCTGATCGATAAAGCTGTTTTAGAAAATTGAATTTAATTAAAAATGTTCCCGGTATCGGCACCCTTGTGGTGATTTGAGGTGTTTTACGGCGGTCGACCGCCCCTGCCACATGGGGACTTCACGCGCCCTGGATCCCGTCCTAGGCATAGCCAAGTGGCTAGTGCGATGGCCTACGAATTTTTTTTTGAACTTTTGCCACAAGTTCGATTCTTATTTATCGTTAACTCTTTGCTTTTTTGCTAATTAAAATTTTATGCACCGATAACGGGCTCAAGAACCAAAAAGCAATGGGTTAGCGAGCGCGAAGATTCGAACCCGAGGCAAAAAAAATGTTAAAAAGTTGTTAGGTAAGCGCGCTACCAATACGCCAACGTAACCTGTGATGGAGGCATTGGCGGAGGGTTACGAATGGGCGCCCTGCCCAGCCCCGAAAACGACGTGCACCGAGGAAATGGACCCGAAAACTAGAAAAAAGCGCGAACTTTAAATTAAATTTTCTAAAACACCTTTATCGATCAGCACTTTTTGAAAACGGGATGTTGCTCAGAATTTTTTTCTCTATCGAACTAGCTAGGTCCCGTCCGAAACTCCAAAAAGCACCTAAAAGCGACTCCTTGTGAGCGGGCTGGAGCGGGCTGGGGTTATGCAAATCTGCCATGTTAATTAGATGCAAAGATAAGAGAAGAGCGAGCGTGGGTAGTATTGGTTCGTAAGTTCAAATCAGGAAAAATGGTAGTTCTATGAGTCTGGATAAAACACATCCCATCAATCTGTATTCAATAAAAGTCGAAACGGCGGGTTAAGAATTAAGGGTAAGGGTTAAGAAAGATTAAGAAGAAGACACAGTAATGTATCGGGCAATAGCTATCATGTTACAGTGATCGGTTGACAATGATGAGCGGTCATTTGTGATCACATTCTTGACGATCGAGAAGAACCTTTCGACGCAAGCTTCGTTTGGCATTGAGCACAAAAGCCGGCGAGATACCTGGAAACTGTTAGCTTATTGGTAACAGTAAGGAGAGGAAAAGTAGGCTTGCATCGCCAACTTCACCCACCGCATACAAGCCAGGGAATTCAGTGCGCCGACCTCCTTGGCAAGGATTGTTTTTGACGCGGGTGGAAAATGGTTAAAAAGAGCTATTTCGGATCATAGATCGTCCCAGTTTTGAGCAGGACCAAAGCTAACTTGTGCAGAATTTTGCGCTGATTTTGATTCTGTTTTCCACATGTGCTGAATTGCAGTTTCAAGAAGTTACCATCTTTTTTGATGGTGTCAACCATTCCAAATCGCATACAGGGTGTCCCAAAAAACCCCCCCTCGGCATTTGGCCGTCTTCGATCGGATAGGGACCAAATTTTTGCCAGCGATGGGGACCCATATAAACTATGTGCAGCCGAATTTTTTAAGCAAAATATTATCAATCAAAAAGTTATCGCTAAAAAACTGATTTTTGGAAAACGCTGGTACTCGTTTTTTGCTATGTTTTCGCAATTAGCATGCCGATTTTGAGTAATTTTCCGAAAAGTCGTCATTTTCGGCTCGGGTGCGGCTCTCTTTGATAATAAAAAGTGATCAAAAGGCCCAATTTAGACGTAATTTTTGTAAATCAAAAAATTTCCACGGGTGGAAAAAAGTGCACACTTCATTTTTGCTAAACATTTCGAGGCCAAAATCCGTCAAAATCCTAGTAAAATCGGCAAAATAAACCTTAATTTCGATATAACTTTTTGTTTTGGAATATTTTGCTTAGAAAATTCGGCTGCACATAGTTTTTATTGGTCCCCATCGCTGGTAAAAATTTGGCGGCGATCGGATAGAAGACGGCCAAATGCCGAGGGGGGTTTTGGTTTTTTTTTGGGACACCCTGTGGTTTGGGTCCCGGCAAAAAGTGTGTTGCAGTTGTGTTGGAAAACAGCCAAACAGCAGAACAACGGGCAAAACTTTGCAGATTAGATTGGATTTTCGGTTGGATCGTTTTCGATGAAATATTCGGAGAGTTATTCGGAGAAATGGTTTTTAGTGAATAATGAATCATCTTGGTGAAGTGGTCGGAATTCAGAGCAGGAATGTTTCGGTAAGACTCCAGATAACCCCACAGCCGGCACCCAACTTTTGTATCTCGGCTCCCTGTTCATCTACAGGTGTGTAAAGTATACCAAAATGTTCGTCTTGCTGTGGCGAGTATTTTGGTATACTTTACACACCTGTAGATGAACAGGGAGCCGAGATACGGTAGGTGAGCGTCGGCTGGGGGGGGGGGTTATCTGGAGTTTAGCCAATGTTTCTCCTCGCCTTTTCATTAAAATATTTATCTCATTTGCGGTCGCATCTGCCACAGTCCTTCAGCTGCTTCGTCGTCTGACCGCCATTGACCTGCCTCGTCCAGCCGATGGTACAACCTTCAAGTGTGAACGTCAGCGTCATGTTCCAGCCTGAAAACGCTCGTGTATTGCGTAATGATACCTAAAAATGGATAGAAAAAAAGTAACATGTAAAACCTACTCGTAGATTCTCCTCGTTCTTGCGGCAGGTCAAGGCATAGGTCATGCTAAAAATGTTCTTTTTAATAACGAGTATGGCTTCGTACAACATCCATTTTAGCCCGAACTTACATGGACATCCCTGGTAGTACGACGGATTCTCAGATACGTATCGTGATGCCAGGGCCAAGGCTCCTCACTATTCGACTTGATCTCGCAAATCGGAGCCTGGGCTTCACTGAAATGAAAGATAATAAAAGCGAGGAAGAGAGAGAGAGAGAGTGAGAGAGAGAGGGAGTAAATGAGTGAACGATCGCCAGACTTCCCTGACACGTTCGGGATGCCAAATCTTCTGCCCGCACGCCCCAAAAATGTCATCCTGAAGCAAATTCTTTTCTTTCAGCCAGAGTCCCCACTCGTCGTTCTGGAAAGTATATTCAGTGGCGAATGGTTTTTTCGGTGTTATTTAGCATACCTCACCAGTGCCACTATACCCTTCACCGTACTGGGCCGTGGCCCTGATATGTGCGAACGTCTCGGGCCTAGCTGACCCCAACAGCAACCCAAGTAGAAGGAACCACATCTTAATTTTGAGCGAGTTATTCAAAAGAGAGCGAGCGAGAGAGACGGAGAAACAGAGAGAAGGAAGAGAGAGAGAGAGAGAGAGAGAGAGATCGTGTAATATGGAGGCCGCTACTGAACCAAGAGGTCAAATAGGCGATTCGGCGAACAATTCGAAATTCAAAGGCCAGACGAATTTTTGATCTATTTCGAATTTTCTCAAGTGTAAATCCTTTTAATCCTCCATCTAAAAAAATCGACGCAAAAAATCTCTCAAGCTTTATCGGTATCATATTTTGCTGAATTTGTTCTTTAAATGTTTCCGAGGCCTTTCGGAAGGAAAGGCGTAAGTATAAGCGTACCGTTTTTTAAATAAACCGCGGCTCAGCGTTCATGGAATTAAACCGACAATTCGAAAACGATAAAAACTGGTCGCTGACCGAATTCTGAATGAAAAATTCCAAGAAAAGATAAATTTAGAGAAAAAATTCCCGATCCGTTCCATGATTTGTTGCACCCAAAAATGGCCATGAATCAAAAGGAGGAAAAAAATTGAATCCGTTTCCCAAGCTTTATGGGTTCACAAAACCCCATCCCTGGGGGGTATAAAGCGAGACCCGAATCGCCGAAACAGCAGCCGATCTGAAAAATGGGTTCCCAGCTGTTGATCGTCTTTGCCTCGTCGGCCCTGGTGGCGATGGTTTTTGCCGGGATCAAGACCGACATCCTCATCCGGAAGGGCAGCTACTCCCCGGGGCATCAAGTCGTTGCGGTAAGTGACTGTGTGCGGGTAGCATCAGACGCCGGATTCAAACTTCTGTATCTCCGCTCCCTATAGTGCCATCGGGTCGTAAAGTATACCAAAATGCTCGGGTTGACATGCCTAATATGTTGGTATACTTTGCAGTACTGGAGGCTAAAGGGTAGCCGAGATAGGTTGATTCTTTACGGCCGAGAGGTCATCTAGAGTTTAGACATAGCTCCATTTTTTGCGATTTACGTATCTATAGAAAGCTCCCGGAAAGCTCGGAAAGGCGAGTCCAGCACATCTCTCCGATTCTTAAACTTTTGACATTTTTCTAAAGTTTCTAATATTTTTGCGAAAGGGGATGATCTTGTCATGTTTTTCTGACCACAGGGTTTTGTACTAAAATCACAATTAAAGGATTATTACGCTTTCCCGGCAACCCGGCGACAGCTTTTTGAAAGCCGTTTGCGAATACAACTTGGATAGAGCCTGTCCGGTTAAATTGAGTGTTTGACAAAAAAGGTATCCTTTTTGCATGAACAATCCGAAAATCGAGGAAAAATTTCGAAACTTGGCTACAAATCGGATATCTAGAATGGGCGGGTGATGGGATTTGAGATCCCCTGTATACACGTTTTCAGGGCGATGACAAGTATCGCGTGGCTTTGATGGAAATCGACCTCGGCAAGAATGATCAGTATGCTCTCTGTGATGGCAGCATGTACGGCGACAGTAAGTTAACGGGCACCGCACGGTACCTTTTAAACATTTTTTTTTGCGTTGCGCTGGCGTTTAAAACGTTCGAGGTGGATTTTCGAGAATTCCGAGGATTCGCGAGAAAACACGAGAAAAGTAAAAATTCAGTCAATTTGTTGGAGTTTTTCCACCCAGGTGCAATTCCTGGTTTAAAAAAATTTCTTTGCGTTTTGTTTGTTGGGTTAAGCTCTATCTAACGGGGTCAAAAAATGAAACTCCTAGGCTCTCCCTGCATGATCAACAGCACAGGCCAGGAGGGTATCTGGGCAGCGTCCCGGCTTTACCTCAAAATCTACACCCAGACGCCGCAGCTGCCTGACGTATGGTTTTCAGGGCGACCTGACCAATTTTATTGGCAATCGTCTGGAGGCTGGAGCCAGCCTGGGCCTTTTTCGTAATTAAAGGGGCTCGGAAGTCAAAATTCGCGTGTTCGGGACTTGAACCTACTGGTCAAAAAACGAAAGGATTGCCGCCGATAGGTGCCAGAAAATTGATTTCATTGCGAAAAAAAACCGAAATGTCCTCGGGGCGATAAGGAATTTTTGAGTGCGCGGCGATTAAATGTCGTAAGGCATCCAGTCAGTCGATCTCGGTTATTCTCTGGTCAATTTTCATCATTAAAACGACTAGCATTGCAAATTGCATGATGATTCCAGAAATCCCACCTTATATACAGGGTGTCCCAAAAAAAACGACCCATCTGGCATTTCGCCGGGTTACATCCAATCGGCCTCAAATTTGGACCAGAGGTGTATCTGACCCTAAATAACTACAATCCTGACTCATAGCCCTGTAGCTACAGTCGTTCTCGAGTTATAACGAAAACAAACTTTATTTTCCATTTTTCACAGGGTTTTCGTGGAATTAGACCCCCTAAACATTAAGCGTAAATGATCCGGCAGGCCGTTTTTACCCTAAGAAATTTTTTTCCAGAGTAAAATTAATTAAATAAGCGCGGTTTAAGCGATTTTTACAAAGCAAAACTACCCAAGTTCTTAAACAAAATTAGGGATTCGCAGCCGAAAGTCGATGCAAATCGATGCAAAGTCCAAAAAGTTAGCCGAAAAAACTGTTCAGAATTCCGGGAAAAACAGCATTTTCATCATAACTCGAGAATGACTGTAGCTACGGCGCTAAAAGTCAGGATTGTTGTTATTTAGGGTCTGATACACCTTTGGTCCAAATTTGGGACCGATTGGATGTAACACGGCGAAATGCCAGATGGGTCGTTTTTTTGGGACACCCTGTAATTCCGGCGTGGACCCGAGCTATCGGGAAGTCAAATTTCTCATGCAAAAACCGCATTCCAGCGCCCAAGGTCCGCGAAGCGGGTTTTCGGCGCTGGTAACGTCATAATTTTGAAATTAACGCGTTTTCCGTTCGAAACGGGACTAGAGAACATGCGTTGCGGCCGCATCTGGCTACCCAATTATCAGTAAAAAAATGCCGCCTTATAAGGTTTTGCAATGACATGGAAATGATTGTAATCAGAAGATGACAGAAGCCAGCTACTAAAAACGTAACCCCCTGTTAACGAACCAGAAACTTCTCAATTTCAGGCCTTCCGCATTCGTTGCATCAGGATTGACGACCAGTACGACGGGGATGTCAGGCGTAAGTATAAAGTACCGAGGCCATCCCAAAAACGGCTTGGGCTAAAGTCTAGTTTTATTCGCCCCCAAGTGGTGCCATTGATGCGTGAAGTATCTCAAAATGTTCCCCCCGTCGAATACTTCATTTCCATATAGCTTTTTTTTTGAGAAGAAAAATAACAAATAAGAATTTTAGAAGCAATTTATTGTTGCCGCGCAAATATAGTACTGAGGGGACACGGCAACGGGGTGGCCCCTGCGACGCTTACGACGGAGACAGGGGAGCCTGTCGCCCAATACAAACCAATCCTGGTTTAAAGGCCTCAAAAACGATGGTTTTGGCGAAAAAGCAAAAGACAATTGCGCGGGGCGGGGTCGAACGCGCACCGTGAGAATGGCAGCCCAGCGCGCTATCCACTATACCACCAAGTGGGAGGGGGCGGCGGAGAGGAATGACCTGCCAGGGGAACATTTTGAGATACTATAATCGGATGACTTGGGAGGAAATGCTGGCTGGGGGTAAACTAGACTCTAACCCCGGCTAGAGTGTAGCTCGCCCAGAGAAAAACCCAAAACCCCTGCAAACCCCTGGACCTAAAAGTCCTAAAAATTTTGTCCACCAGAAATTTCTGATCTCACCCTTGACGGAAGCATCCCTCCAGCTAACGCTTTTCAGGCTACGAAGGTGAATTCTTCATCGGACAAAACATCACCGACGCCTGCCATTTACACTATGACAAGTGGACCGGTGACAAGGCACTTTACGCCTCGCGACCCCCGCAATTCTGATTTCCAGGTGGAAAGAGGCCTTAATAGCCCGTGCACGTCATGCTGTGATTGGCAACATTGCGATGGGAACAGCTACATCCTGAACGAGGACTACAAATACAAACTATAAATTCTTGAATAAACTACTATAACTATAACGGTTAGTGTAACACGCAAAAGAGAATGACGTTGAAGCTCTGCTTCTCTTCAACGTCCCTCCACTATCATTACTTTACAAGGTCTCAGTATAAAATACATCGAAAGATATGTTAGTTACACCATTTGAAAACCCTTGGAACGACGAGTTTGCAATAATCTTCAAAATCTTTTAAACCATTCGCTATTTTACAAGCAGTTTCGTAAAATTTTTCGTTTTTCTGGGATTGCATATGAGTTAATTAGTCTCAATTTCTGCAAGCAAAATGACCGGAAGCTGCCATTAATTGGATACAGATGCCGAAGCTTATTGTTCTTAATTTCGAAGTAAAATCGCGGGCTTCGATAAAAACAGGGTTTTGAAGATTGTGGCAACACGCCGTTTCAGGGGCTTTAGAATGGTGTAGCTACGATTCCCTTGCGACCCTAGCATTCATTCGCCCCGCCCCCAAAAAATATTTATTCCGCATCCGGATGTAGCAGAAGCAGGCTGTAGATTAGGTTCGAATTCTCTGGTTCGAAAAGGTATTGGTGGGCCGAGATATCGTAGCTGCCCAGCGTTTCTTGACCTGGAAATAACGTAAATTAAAAGCAATAAAGACGCTAACACGTTTTACAAAATTTTTGATAAATCTGAGGTAGGCAATTTGGTACGAATTTGAAAGCTGCGAAATTTGTGAAATAGACTTGTGAAATCGAATGTCGTCGGAAATTTGAAAAGCCGATTGAAACGGCTGCCCGATTTTATCGATTTTATTTTATCGGCTTAGGAATTTATCGAAAGTCATCGTAAAACGCGACTCCAGTCAACTTTTCCGGTTCCTGCGAAATCCGTCGTTTTGTTCAATTTTCGAAATTTTTCACCCAATTTGACACATTTGTTTCCGAATACTCAATTTCAACTGGTTAAGCGCTACTCAAGCTGTTTTTTTTTGTCTATCCTACCTTATATAATTTTGGCGTGTATCTTTGTGTGTGTGTGTGGATGTCAGTTTCGAGCCCCGATTTGAGGGCCTTCCCGTGGATAAAATGCCCTAATTCTCCGTTACCCGGGGGAATCGACCCTTCTGTTTCCGATGGCGTTCTCAGAATTTTGATAAAATACAAGTTTACAAAGTTAAAGCCGGTTTTATTCATTTTTGCGGGTCCCTGAGGGCTAATTTGAATAATGTGAAATAATAGAAATGTCCTCATTCTTGCGAGTAGCACGCGCGCGTGTGGTCGGTGGGGGTCCGCAGGACCCGAGCTATCGGAAAGTCAAATTTGTCATGCAGAGGCCGCAATCCAGCGCCCAAGGCCCGCGAAGCGGGTTTTGGGCGCTGGTTTTCAATAATCTTTCATCGAAAAAACCCTCACAAATTTGGTCCTTTTGCAAGATCAGAGTAAATGTCAGAAAAATTCCCGCATTTTGGAAATTCAAGAAAATGCCAAGATCCGCTTTTCCGAGAGCTTTCGATCGATAACAAAAATCGCAAAAAAATTGGACACATCTGCGGACCGGAAAAGTTAATCTAAGTTGGTGGAATTACGTGTAAATACCCACCCGCTTCCATCACCGCAAGCGGTTGCGGTGTCCCCTTTGGCGCCCAGGTGAGGACGATGTTCGGGAATGTCACGATCAATTCTTTCAGGAGAACATCATAATTCAGAGGTTCTTCTGGGACCGGAGTAGGAGGCGCCGTGGGCGGTTCCTCTTTCAGCTGTCGCGCGGCATCAGCTGGAGCTGTGGCGTTCGCCTTCTCGGTTTCAGTAGCCGTTGCACGCTTCTTGCGTTCTGCTGGGTTTTCGTTCGGTATAGGTTGAGGTGGTGCCTGGGTTGGAGGAGGTTTGGACAGCTTCTGCCTATAATAGCGTTTTTAGACGGTTTTGACGGTTTTGAAAGACGGCCTCTGCATCTAACTAACGACAACCTCCGGGCATTTTTCGTTAGCAACTTGATGCAAATTAGCAAACGACCCTGAAAAACGGCAAAATTTTACAAAAAATTGCTTGTAAATTAGCTGGTTTAAACAAAACATGGTTTTTGGTATTTGATGCAAACTCGCCGTTTTCAGGGCTTTCCAATGGTGTAAAAATTCTCCAGATCTTTCTCCGACCGCTAAATGGGTCGACTTTTTTTGGGACACCCTGTACCCGTTAAGCCGTCAGCTTACTGTTAGAACCTTACTTCAGCATCTCAACCGTCTTTTGGACGGTCTCATCCCAATCGTGCGACCATCGGTTTGTCGGGTTGCGCCAGACGAAGCTCTTGCACAGTTTGGTGTCTTCTTGCAGCGGCACTTCGCGTTCTAGGCTGGCCCAATAGCCGGTGTGGTTCGTGCGTCCCTTTACCGCGACGATGTAGGCGGTATCAGTACTAAAAATAGAGGATTTCAGAAACATAGCCACGCCCGCCGTGTTTGTCATTTTTTGTTTGATCATTGAACCCGACAAACCGATGGTCGCACTTTAAATAAGGCTGGATCACTTACTCGTACGGTCCAATATCGTCGAATTGCCACTTCAGCTTGTTCAGCCACTCCGGCGCCGTGTCCAGCTCGTTGAAGCTGCGCATACGGCGTGCGAACACGGCGCTGTCGTAGTCTTTTGTTTTGGCCTGAAAAACGGCAAAGGTAGCCCCTTCTTATCGCCTCTCCCCTTCCCCCCTCCCGTCCCTCCCTTGGCCTAGTGGTTCAAGGCGCTGCCCCAGGCTGGCAGTCAGGGTTCGGTTTTGCTCCGCGGCGAGCGCCCACCTTAAAGGGGCTCTGGCAGCAGGCTCGTTTTTCCACGATTCGTGGAAGCGTCGCGGTCGGGTGCGTCGGGGCAGGGAGAGAAAGAGCGCGCCCAGAGGAGAGACGCAGACAGAACTCTGCGTCTCTGCCCGGTCCCCAAAATGCCGTAATCGGTGTGCTGCCAGAGCCGCTTTAACCTTGTTTGCTATCCCGCGGACGGTTACCGGCCTGTAACCCAACCAACGAGACTTTAGTGTACCTTTAAGGCAAAAATCATACCATCGCCTTTTCGAGCATCTCATGCAGATCGGTCATCATCGACTTGAATCGCTCCTGCAGCTTCTCCAGCGTTTTCCCGATCAACGCGTCATCGGCCACGGTGTGCGAGTAGCAAATTGCGGCCGTGCTTAGCTAAATATATGTTTTAGTAGATGAGCCAATAGGTTTTGAAGCTTGGGCATCACTTGTCAGCAGGCCCGTAGGAAGGGGGGGCCCAGGCGGCCCTGCCCCCCGAAATTGGTCGAGGTCCGAAAAATTCATAAAGGGGGACCCTTATGATTTTTAGTTAGAAAAATTTTTCTGCCTGAGGCGCTGTTTATTACTGTTTTTCAACCAGTTTTTACTTATATGAAGGGGGGAGGTCGCCAAAATTTTGCCCCCCGAAATTTCGGTTCCGCTACGGGCCTGCTTGTCAGTAACGCTAGGGGATTGTAAACATGAAAATCACTCACCATCGAAGCGGTCGTCGAGCGAATTGAATCGAGCCAGACGTTTAGGGCTTTCTTCGAAAAATCTCGCGATTTCAGGACCGTCATTGTCGCGCATCTAGGGTTAATATGAGAAACGTAGCTTTTTATTTGTCAGCCGAAGATTGGCGACGGACAAAACTTTATTTGTTTTTTTTTCTGTGCGAACTTACTGCGGTATCACCCCAGTTGCATCGGAGGCATCGCGACGGGTGCGATTTTGTGCGCTAGAGTTTTTCTGCTCATCTATTAATAATTGGTTGCCTATTTTTAACTCCATTTTGATCATTTCAATTTTGTGATATTTTGAGTCGCAAAGAACCCGACCTGTATCTCGCTTTTTCCGTTTTCCCTCGGAACCCGGCATATTGCACCCGCGCACGATGTGCTGCTCGAATCGCTGAAAATACCGCCCTGTAATTGCACTGGCTAAAAAGCTAATTTTAGCTTAACTATAACTATTTTTTTCTTACATGCACCACCGCTTCAAAGCGGTCAAGGCACAGCTGCCGGAAATTCTCGTCCAGGGCCCGGCGCTCGGCGATATCGCGCGAGTCGTTCAGGAACAGCATCCGCTGCTGGAGGTGGAAGAGCGGTTGGAGCACCTCCTAGAAAGGCTCGAAAATGCGTAGTTTAGCTTGGTTTTGCCCCTAAGGGCCGCGAGATGCAGCGCATAGACGTCCGACCAATGCGACCACCCTTTTGCTCCTGGATACCTACAGTCGTATAAGCCTGAATGGAGAGCTCCTCGGAAACCATGTTCTTCAACTCGCGCAGGTCGTCCTTCAGCCGATCCAACCCATTGTGAATAATTTCGGCCAGGGCCGAAGTAGCGGCGAGAACTGGGGAGGCGCCTTTCTGAAAGGATCAGAGACTAGGGCCTCATCGAAATGCGCAATGCACCTTTTGAGAGACATCGGCTGTGTAGAACGGCTTCATCCCCTCGGCCACCGGCGTCAAAATTGCAGCCGAATTGCCGAGCATTTTTCTCGCAAACGTCTGAAAGCAAAAGCCTGAATCGAAAAGAGACAAAGGGCCTACCCTAAAGACGGTCATCGGGTTCTTAAAGTCATCCTCGCTGTACGACGGGGAACCTCCACTGAACAGATCCGGCAGCAGATCTTTGCCAATCTTCCAGAGGCCTCGAACAAGCCTCGAACTTCTGGCCAGATTGAGAGCGCGACTTCCGATCGTAGTCAGAAATCGGGCTGCTGTCGCAAGCCGAGGCACAACGGCGACCGCCTTCGCCAGAAAGGGAGCAGCGGCCACCGCCACCGTCTTTAGGCCCGCAACGACTGGTCCGATCAGAGCGGGGACGAGCGCGGCCAAGGGAGCTGAATAGGAGCTGAATAGTTCGTTCGAAGTTCGAAAAATTGCTAAAAACGGTGCACCAATCACGACCCCGATGACCTTAGCTCGAGGGTGTCCCAAAAAATCGACCCCCTCTAGCGGCCGCTCGTGTATCCGATTTAGGCACCTATCGAAAGCTCACCGGGACGGCGAGAAAACAAGCGCTTTTCGTCTTTCAATTTAAGAAGATTCGCTTATCAATTTTAGGACTAAAATCCCTGCAAACTTTCCCGAAAAAAAATCAGCAGCTGAGGTCACCTTTTTTAAGAGGTCGTCAATATCTAGCCGAGAGCTTAAAAAACGTGGATAAACGCGAAGTGAGCATTTTCTCGCCGAATTACTATCCGAATTGTATAAAAATCGTTTATAAATAATCTTCGGTATGTCAGGCACCCACTTACGGATTTTCAAATGGCGATCCGGGACCAAGCGTGGGTTTGGGCCGGGGTTTTCTTTGCGGTAGGAGGCTGCGTGGCCCAGCGCCAAAGCAAGGAAAACCAGAAATACCCAGTGGTTGAAGCGCATTGTCTGAAAAATTCTGAAGCTTGACAAAGAATTACAGTAAACCGCAAAACTCGGCAAAGCTCATATGATGTTTTATGATGACGGCGCATTTCGGGCTTGAAATAGCTAAGCCATGAATATTCAATTATGATGGCTGTATTGCCCGTTATTGCTTCTTAATGTGGCAGCAAAACGCTGAAGTTACCCCGATAGCAAAGAATACGGCGTAGAAGTTAAAAGGGGTTGTTGATATTCAAAGCGAAATAGCCATATAAGACTCGTGGGCGTCAAATCCTTAGTTTACCACCATTAACGCCACAACAAATATTTTATTCCACATTCTCCACATTATTTTGGCGGGTAAGGGTGAAGAAGAAGCAGACTGTAGATGATCGACGCGTCCTGGGTGTCAAATAGGTATTGGTGTGTGGAGATGTCGTAGCTGCCGAGCACTTCCTGCCCTGGAAAGTATACGTATATCAATGGTCATGATCATAATAGATATCGTTGCGAAAGGCTCCCAATCTTATACCGCGCCCTTGCTACCGTACCCCTCGGACATGAAACAGCAGCTTGCCACTACATGTCGTAATGGTTACTGCTCTCGGGATTCTCTCTTTTGATCGATGTCTACTCGATCCTCTAAACTTCCGTCACGTTTGTTGTTTGTATCGATAAGCTTATGACGTTTAGTAACGGTACTCTGCACCGCTTCCCAAGCACTTCAACTGCATACCAATACACAAGATATCTTTACATACCGGCCTCCATCACCGCGAGGGGTTGCGGCGAATCCCTTGGCGCCCAGGACAGGATAAAGTTGGGGAAGGTTCTAAGCAGCTCGCCGGTGAGAATAGCTTCCACATCCTTGTGCGCTATGTCCTTGTTTTTCTCAAGCGCGGTCCTGAAGGTAATCATGTAGATTGAGCTGACGTAAGGGCTTTGTTCTGTTAATGCTAACAAAAAACCAAGTGGGCTAAAACTGAAGTAACATGGGTCATTTCTTGAAAACGGGCTCTGAGTGTTTCGTTAAAGGGATGCCGACGGCATAGTCAATCGGTTACGCGCGGAAAAGAAAATTTCTCTGCGCCTCTCCCCTGGGCGCGCTCTCTCCCCTGTTGGCTACTTGCCAATTTGTTGTTGAGGGGGGATCGACACATGCCGTCGGCAGCCCTTTAAAGAGATAGCGTATGCAGAAATCTATGGGTTACGTGGATTCCTGGAACTTTGCCAGATTTGGTTGGATTCGCGCGCCAATCCGCCCTTAGCAGCAAATCGGCGCATTAATGAGAGGCTGAGGCGCGCAGATGTGATAACGTGTGCCCTCAGGCGATGTTTTGGGCGGGAAAGGGCCTTTTTACAGTCGCGAGTGCGCAAGTTATGAAAGTGGAATGACGCCTGGATTTCTGCTTGCGCCATCCCTTTAATGCCGTGCTGTCAAAACCGATACCTCAATTTTTCCACTTCCGTCTGGACCAACGTGTCCCATTCGTGCGACCACCGATTCGTCGGGCTGCGCCAGACAAAGCTCTTGCACCCTGTGGACACCCCTTGTAGAGGCAGATCCCGCTGTTGGCTAGCGTAGTAGCCGCTATGATTTGAGCGCCCGCTGACTGCCACGATGTAGGCGGTGTCGATGCTGAAAACGGATTGTCGTTACATTGCTAGCTACGCTTACCCGGCCCGCCCAAGATCGTCAAACTGGTGCTTCAGCGTCATCAGCCACTGCTCGGCGGTGTCCAACTCGGTGTAGGCGCGCATTCGGCGGTGGAAGATATCCTTGTCATAGGCATCCATTTTGGCCTAGGAAAGGTGGGTTTGTCTTTATTATCGAGGTTACAGAACACTATTTCTCTGCGTCTGTTCCGGTCTGCACAAAGAATGCAAGCCGAGTCAGGGGCAAAAACTCTTGACTGGTATCGAACGCCGTCACAACCAATTTGGACAGTCTTTTTTGCGCGCGAGGCACCACACCATGCAGTCGATATTCGAGCACCTTACACATCACAGTTCATCTTGTTGAAAAACCCACAAGCACCAAGTCCAGCATCTCATCAACGCCCTGCAACATGACCTGCAACTTGTCCTGCAGCCGCTTGAGGTACGTGCCTATCAGCTCCTGGTCCACGACAATGTGCGGGATGCATACGGTAGCCACGCTCAACTAACGATAAGGCAAATGAGAAAGCCGCGAAAAGCCTACAATTGAAGCGGTCGTCGATCTAAGCGAGTCCAGCCAAACGTTGAGAGCTCTCTGTGAGAAGTCGCGGGTTTGGAGCACGGTCATGGTTACGCATCTACAAAGGATAGTGAGCCTGTTTTTTTACTAACTGTGGCGTCGAGCTGAACAGGATCGGGTCTTCATCATCCCGGCGCATCCGAATGTGGGTCCCGTTGGATGGTGGATAAGCCGGGTCTAGATTTCGTTTTCGGGGAAAGGCATTGGCGTAGAATATGGAATTATATGTTTCACGAAAAACTACTCACAAAAACGCTTGCCTGACGACCGCTTCTTGCGCTTATAAAAGTCCTTGGGTGTCCGGCACGACCTCCAGATGTGATTCTCGAATTGCTAAAACTGATGTGCTCTCTTTCTTGCCTTATTCGGGTTTACAAGCTCACCGGACACGTTTTCAGACATACCTGTACAATCCTGTCAAAACGCCTGACACACAACTTTCGAAAATTCTCGTCGAGTGCCCGGCGCTCGGCAATGTCCTGGGACTCGTTGAGGTAAAGCATCCGTTGCTGCAGATGGAAGAGGGGTTGGAGCACGTCCTGAAAGGATTGGAAATCAGGTCTCGAGCAAAGTTTGCGGCTGCAGGCCTTAGCGAGGCGCAAGAACATTAGTAAGGGGAGCGGGGGCGCCGGTGGAGTTTTGACATTTACGAGTTAATTTTCTCAAAAAAAGATACGGTCGTGTAGGCCTGGATCGAGAGCTCCTCGCGGACCATGTTCTTGATTTCCCGAAGATCATTTTTCATTCTCGCCAATCCCTGCTGCACGATCTTGGCCAACGCCGAGGCTGCGGCGATAGCTTCCTGCGTTGCTCCGTCCTAAGAAAATGATTTCACTGTCACACACAAAAGGATTTGGCCCACTTCTGGAGAAATCGGTGCCGTGAAAACTGGTTTCACTTGTTCGGCCATTGGCTTAAGAACATCCATCGCTTTGCCAAGCATCGGTCCTACCGCGTACTAAAAAAATAAGTTGTCGCCAGGTGCCAGAACCTTTTTCCGACTAGTTTGAAAAGCAATACATCCAGGGGCGTAGCCAGAAAAAATTTCGGGGCGCGCCAAAAAAATTGTTCCAAAAACTCAAAAGCTTAACGAGTAAACAGCGCCGCAGGCAAAAATTTTTGAAAAAAAGTTACATAGCTCTACAAATAGCCGTAAAAACGTGAACAATAGCGCAGCAGGCAGCAAAATTTTTGAGAAAATAAAAATCATAAGGGTCCTTATGAAATCCTCGGGCCCCGGCCGATTTCGGGGGCCCGGGGCCGGTATTACGCTACGTCCCTGAATACATCGATGCTTAAAAGTTTTAACTCTGAGGTATCAGCTTTTCTTCAGTTTTTTTTTAAAATCACACCTTAAATATCGATTGCGGCAGCACAAACTCCGCCATCTTATGAATACCCTGGAGAGTATAGTGTGCGCCAGTTTTAGCGAGATCCAGAGCCCCGGAACCAATGTCTTTAGCCATCTCGTAGCCACTTTTTGCGAAATCGCCAACGTATTCGGCGACAGCGTTGATGGCAGAAGCAGCCGTAGGGGCCACGGCATCGTACACCTTTTTGCCGCCCCAGGCTGAAAATGTATGAATTGGAACAGGAGGCAATTAGAAGGAGGCCTCCATGCGGAGAGGAAATGCATCGGAACTTGAATTACGGGGGCGAACAGCGAAACCCTGTATGCCGAAGTTATCTCAACACCCAATAGGCACGTAGCGCTAAGTTTTCGGAATTCGAAGTGGTTATTTTATTCCCAGTTATTTTATTCTTCCCCGTTATCCTTTGTGTACCGAACTTACCAAAGAGAAATGGAAGAAACCGTTTCTGACGCCGCCACATGTCCGTTGGTTTCGCCGGCGCGAGTTGAGAGTTAGCCTCGTCTTGGCGACGCGATGCGAGGCCACAGAGAAGTGTCGCCATGAACACGAGAAAAACCCAGTGGGTGAGTCGCATTGCCTGAAAGCCTATGTTGAAGGTTTTCTTAGAGAGCTAACAAGGGCACCTCAAGTTGACACGGTGGAGTTTCGAAAGTTTTTCTTATAGTAAAAATCAAAACTTGGAGTTGGGCAGAAAGTTCCGGTCAAAAAGCAAAATACAAAATAGTGAGCGGATTCGAACCCTCGTCAGTATTCTATCAAGCGAGTCGCTTACCACTCGGCCATTCAACTGGTGATTCCATCGTGATGGGAGAGCCTCATAAACCTATCGCTAATGCTAATTTTTCGGATGTAAATCATCCTTTTCCGGAAGTGCTGTATCTCTGTCCAGAGGCCCATTTAGGAAATTCTGACTAGACCGTTGGAATCGCCATAGTCGAAAACCTAGGGGTAGCCGCGAGCGTTTTTCGAAACTCCACCGTGTCAACTTGAGGTTCCCTTGTAAGAGGCCAAGAATTCGTGAGCAGGGAATTTAAAAAAACCACCGAAGAAAGGACAGACATGGGAAATTTTTCAGTCGGTTATAGAGGTGATGTGGCGTGAGAGGGAGGCGAGCTATTCGCATAGAGGCGCCAAGAATCGCATAGAGGCGATTCTTGGCGTTTATATAGCTGGGTTGGTTAATATTCCATTTTGACGCGGGGGCCCTCCAGATATTGGATTGCTAATCGAAAGCCAGTTCGTGATTCTATCTACAGTATTATATGGAAAATGACGCACCGTATCCTATAGCTCCAAACGCTGACCCTAAATAAAGTTACGGATAACATCGAAACAAACAGCATTAAAAAAAAGGCAAAAAACACACAAAAAGGGGATCGTGCGGAAACTGATGCATCGAAGAGCCGTAGCTGATGGAAGAATCTGCTGAGTTTCTTATAGGTGTCCCGAAGTGCCAAAAACTGAGATGCTGCCACGAAAGCGGAGCCCTGTACGTCGTAGGCCTCTGTACGTAAACAGTGCGGGATGCTCGTGATTTTGAAATTCCCTGTGGTCACCTCCAAATCCGTTTCTGGGCCGAATTCGATAATTCAAAAATCGAAACTATTTAAAATTGAGCGAGGACTTCAGTAATCAGCTCAGAATCTACGAATTCTAGTGTTTTTACAAGGATTTCGGGCAAAAACCGTTTCGCGCCAAAATCGAAAGAGATCTGCCAACCAAAATCCAAGAGCCCTCCGAAAAGGAATTTGATTAGACGCTTTGGTGTGCTTTTAAGTTGTAAACCCGAAGTGAGCTGCTGACGACCTCGCGGGGGACATTCTTCTTTACGAAGGTTTCCTCATTCAACGCATTGCGTAGAAATCCTATTTTTTTTTCTTATCGCCAGCGATATCCAGCGACTTCCTATCGTTTTGGGACCCTAATACCAATGGAACGTGGCCAAGTCACGAAAAGCCTTTTCTGCAAAACATAAACTAGTCACAATCGCTGCTCGAAGAGTTTATTTTAACATCATAAATTTTAAGGGGGCTTTATCGAGCCAACGAGGCCGGAAACACGACAGCCATCGTATCGTTGCGGTGGCTGAAGTAGTGCCCGGAGGCGAGCTGCCATCCGCTTCCGGTGACCTCGGCCGGTTGCTTTTGCCCTAAGCCAATCGCCGTATTTGTCTCGGAATTTACTCACCCGGCTCGAGGATCTGCGTAAACTTTGTCAGATGGCCCTCGCCACCACGGAAGATCAGCCAGGCGTTGATGTTCTGGTTGGTGAGGTGGAACCCGGCCTGAGCCAGGCGCACCTCTAGGACATCCAAGTAATCCTCGTTGCCTTGCATGCTAAAAAAGGGGTGAGCAGACGTGACCACAATATCCATATATCCCTTACACGTCAAGCACGGCCATGCGCCGCTCCAGCGAGTGGGCGGCCAGCTGGAAGTTCTCGTTGTTGTGCTTGTAGGGGATGGCCGGGTATCGGATCGACATCACCAGATACTTGTCCTGGCGCTTCCAGCCGCAGCTCTGCTTCGGGCACCCGAACAGCGTCGCGTTTTTAGCGCCCTCGTGCACCAGGTAGACGCGCTGGATCCTGGAAGATAGGCGTTTTTCCGTTTCGCAATTTCCACATTTTTTCGGCTTGTTCTAAGCTGGTCTAAGCCGCTCACCCTTCCGGCCCGTGTTTGTCCATGCCGTCGCGGAGCGCCGTCAGAAGCTGATCCTTTGTACCCCCTTTGTGCTCGCTCAACACCTCCTGGATCAGTTGTCCCTCAAAATCTTCGAAGGCGTTCTGAAATCATGAAGTTTTTGAGTTATTTAGGGTACCGGAGGAAGGGGAGTCAAATTTGTAAGGTTTTTTAACGAACGATAGAACGATAGAGCCTCGAAATATATACTAAGAGAATTATTTTGACCAGGAAAAAATGTATTATAAAAGTTTTTTTATCACAAAAACTACGATTAAAAACAGTGCATAGGATAACACGGGAAAACATAATAACCAACGAAGTAATAATT